GCCGTCACAGTGCAACAGCTGGAAGACGGTCATCAGCTCCTGCAAGGGCAAGATGGAGGCGGGAGGGGACGGGGGGGCGGAGGAGCGAAGGGGGGAGTTAGTTTCCAGCTACGGGAACGACAAACCGAGGGGGAATCGGCAACATCGCGCCCGGTGCTTTGGAATCACAAGGATCACGGAGCACGTGGGCTACTCTGGAGTGTGTAAACAAAAGAATTCCAGTGTTAATGAGGTAAGATTTATCAAAAAGATAGGAAAACCACAGAAACGGGGGAGGTGGAAGGCATCCCGACGTCCCGGGAGCCGAGACGCAGCAGCAAAGCCCGGCTCACCCCCCGAAACAAAAACCCTCCGACCGGATAAGCAGATCACAGAGGAGAGCGACGCTGGAGCTTCCCTCTGCCCCAGGGGTTTTGGGATCCTGCCAGACTCTGTCACCCCACGACCCCCACGGCAAACCGCTGGCCAGAGCGGGTGACAATCCAACGTTTCCCAAGGAAACATGTCTCTCTCTCTCGGCCACACAAATTGTGCTTCATAAACTTGCAGGGACTCATCAGGCTTCCCGAACACAAACAGCCTCCGGAACGCGCGTGTCGGAGCCACCCCGTGTAAACAGGCCCACTCATATAAACACTCCAGCCTTCCGCCTGCCGAGCATTCCCGCTCCAGGGAAACGAGCCAGGCGAGCAGTCGGCCTCGGGAAGAGTTTGCCTACAGCGAAGAGCCCCAAACGCAGCGACTCCGCCGACTTTGAGACGCTTCCGAACGCTGCTCCGCTGGCTGGAGCAGAGTTACGGTCTGGTTCCTGCCTCGCCACCCTCAGAGGGAAGAATTTCTTCCTTAGATCCCATCAAAATCTCCCCTCTTCCAGTTTAAAGCCATTGCCCCTTGTCCCATCACTACACGCCCTTGTATAAAGTCCCTCTCCAGTCCCTCTTCAGCGGCTTTCCTATGGGAAGCGAGATCCCTCCCGTTTTACAGGAGAGGACAGAGCCCACAAACAAAGCGACTCACTTAATGCCAGGGATTACGGGAGCTGGAGGTGTTGTCTTCACTCTCAGCACCAGGTAATCTGGTTAATTAATCTGGTTAATCTAATGGCACGGTGCGGAAGACGCCGGGTTGGAAGAACACACGACCCTTCCGCGATACCGAGCCTCGTGGATATCAAAGAGCATTTCCAGAGGGAAGCCCAACCAGCACCTGGAAGTGCCATGGATCCTGCGTTCCAAGAGGAAAACCCCGCTTTTATTTGGGACACAAAGCACCACGGATGTAGCTGAAGGGTCAAACCAACCACCCCTTGACCCACGTCATTAAACGACGAGCGGTACCTGGAACTCAAGCATGGATTTTCCCTTGTTGGATTCCAGCATGAAGCGGAAGGCGCCGATGCCGGTGTTGGGATTATCAGCTTCCTCTCGGTTACCCTGCAAGAGACATTCCATACGAGAGCTGTGATTCCCAACCAAGTGGGGCTCCCCTTCCACTTCTGCTACATCAGCTCCACTTCGCCAATTCCAGGCTGGATTAAGGAGAACAGCCTCATGCCGGCAGACGCGCTTCCCGCTCTCCGTCAGCCTCCAACACTCCCACCCCTCGCTGCAGCTCTGCAGCCCGCTCTGCTTTCGACAACGCCGCTTGAAACGGGATTTATTTTTTTTTCCTGCAGCCCGTGACGGCGATTTCCAAGTTCTCACAATGCTCTGGGCACCGCGGTGTCGCCGCACGGCAAGAACTCCCGCCGGGATAAGGTGTAATTAGAGCAGGGAAAGAAGAAGGCAAAGCTCCCGCCCCTAGAAACTGAAGTTGGAGTTTAAAGAAAGCTGGAGAAGGTGACAACGTGGTCACAGAAGGGTGAATCAACACCTCAGACTTTTTGTGCTGCCCTCAGGGCAGGATAATGGAAGGTGAGAAGAGTGGGAGGGGAAGCAGAAGAATGAGGATTAGAGCTGGAGTTGGAAGTTTGAAAGCTCCGAAGTCACCGAAAGAAACCTGCCCTAAAGAGTTCCAGCTGTCAAAGCAAACTTCTCTTCCCATCATTTCGGGTTTTGTCGACCCGTCCCCACCAACCACGGCCGCCTGGGCACGGAAAAGCCTTACGTTGAAAGATGCCAGGGCCTCCGACACACTCTTCTCGATGAACTCATCCGTGATCCTCCGGGAAGGGTGCTCGTTAAACACCGAGTTCATCAGCGCGATCTTCGCCGCGCTCCTCCGGGCCTCAGCCTTGGTGGGACAGAACTGAGGAGGGAAAAACACCGTCAGGACGGAGCATCGATGAGACGACCCACGTCCCTTCGGTCCCCCGCTCCAAACTTCTCCCTCCCCGCCACGCCAACGGGAATTCGATGGCGGCGTTTTGGGAAGTCGTGCTCTCGGACATCCTGAAATCATTAGGAGTTGGTTTGAAACCACAGTTATCCCGACCACGCAAAAATTAGGCAGGCAGCTGAACTCAGCACGTAGTATCCGCATCAGGAAACGCCGCCAAGCACATCATCAGTGAAATTAATTAGCTGAAAAGCAGTTAATTAGCGTAACCAGATTACTCTTAAGCACAGGGGCTGCTCTTCAGGATGGGCGGACCATGTAGCTGCTGGAATTGTTTCTTTTGGATACGTTCTCCAAACCAAGACTAGAGAGAACTGCCTAAAGCCACCACGGCGAAGGAATCCGAAACGCGGTCAGGATTTTTGGACCTTAATCTCTCGGGTGAGGTATTTGGGTTGGACGTTTTTCCTTTTCAACAGAAAAAGGGGGAGGAACTATTGATCCAACGTTATGATTCAATTTCTGGAGTCTTCTGGCACCGTGAGAAGAGGTTCTGGGTCAAACTCAGAGCCCTGGCAAGGAAATATTACTCTACCAGTTTGTCCGAGCTGCATCCCGTAAATACATCCCGCTGCTTAATCCTGGGAAGGAGAGAGAAGCACCAAAACTGGCCAAACTAAGAGTTTTCCCTGATACCACATATCCTACCTCGGCCCTGCTAAGGTCCAAGTCGGCCACGGTGAGGGAATACGGTCCATCCAGCAAAGTAGGATTTACAGCCAGACCTTCCTGGATGGAAGTCGGGTGGGGATTTACGGGCAACCAGGAACATGTAATGGCTAGTTTGAAATGAAAGAGGGTTACAGGCAGACCCACGTCATCCTCACGCTTCAAACCAGCAGGAAAACGCTACCACAGTGTCCACTGCCGAAATTTGAGTGCTAATTCCAGCAGGGAAGGATGCTCAGAGCACCCGAGTCTGGAGAGCGGGACACGGCGTGATCCTACCTGGAAACTGCCGAAGCAGCTGCCCCCCGGCAGGGTGACGTAGCAGACGTACGGGGGGCTGTTGGAAGGGACCATCTCGTACACCACCAGCGCCCCGTTCTTCAGGTCGGCGCCCCGCGACTGCTTCATCTGCCAGAACTCCTGGAGGGCCTCCACGACGTTCACTGAGGGGACAGAAACGGGGTCGAGGTCAGAGAAAACCAGAGCCTGGGAAGCTGCTTCCCGTAGGTATCGCCATCCGGGTGTGTTCCCAACTGGGAGCTCAGCTACGTCTCGTGGTAAAAACCACGAGGGAAGCCGTAGGACGTCGGCACAAACACACCTCTCCCAGCACGGAGAACGTGACGAGTCAGACAACCAAGCTTCCTATGGAAAAGCTCTTTTCATTCCAAGGAACTTGGGGAAAAGCTGTTGGAAGAGGACTTGGAAAGGCAGCGAGGCATTCTCCCCCTGTAAGGGCTGTCGGTGGGTTTGCTCACCTGCTCCCCAATCCCGGCTTTCCGGCATTTAAGACAAAAATAACGCGGCTGAGCTGCGCGGGCACTGCCGGACCCGAGGAGAACCCCCCGTGCCACCACGTTCCTTGCTCCCAACGACACTCCCTGGCATTTGGGTGGGAGCCTTTGGCTGCCACGTGGAGAGAGTTGGACAGCACAGAGGAGGATGGAAACGGCCCACTGGGGA